ACATAAAATAAATAACTTAGCAGATGCGATTAAATAGAAAATAAATCTATTCAATTAATTAAATAACTAAATGAATAGTTCCTAAATTGTGAGCGGACACAGTTTAAAAATTTCAAAAATCCATGAAATCAAAAACACGTATTAAATAAAAATGAGTCCAAAATAACTGAACATAGTTTCGTAATATTTAATTTAAAAAACTAACATATTTCGATGTAATTCATTTTTATATAGGGTGTTAAGAATTGTGATATTTAAAAGTTAAAGTATGACATTGATAAAGAATCATCTTAGTTAAATATTTTCTTAGAATAATTGTCAATCTCTTAGTTAGCAACTTGTTAATGCGATTAAAAAGGTTTAATTGTGATAACTTAGTAGATGAATTTAGTCCACTTTACTTATATCTTTAAGTGGTTTTCTACGTTTTGCGGTCTCTAATAGATTGCAAGTACATGGTTCACTTAATTTCCATTATGACGGCAATATTGAAACATTTAACATACTGGAGCTATTTAATAACATTGCTTAAATAGTTTCACACATATTATAAAACATGGTGTATTAAATCAAGTAAGACGTTGAATGATAAAATTCCTAAAACAATTTTTATAGCTTGAAGAATAGTTTATTAATTAAATAAAAATGATCAAAAGTTGTAAAAAATAATAATAACAAAGAAAAACTTTTTATTCTTTTAAAAATTGTATTTGTTAAAAAGTACAAATTTTGTAATAATACCGATTTAATTTACTTAGAAGCAGTTTTTCATTTTTCCTTATAAGAAAAAAGGTTTTTTTACAAAACATCAATAAAATATTATGGCATCATAAAAGTAATAAAAAAAATTATTCAATACAATAAATATAATCTAATAAATAATAACATTTTTACCAATGACTTGGTTTATTAAAAAAAAAAAAGTCTCAATTAATTTTATCAACGAAAATAATCATTTTTTGACATAATTTATACGAGAAAAAATTAAACACATAACAATACACTTACTTAGCATAATAGTTTTAAATTGAGAATAATATAGTTTTTTTATGATAAAATTGGTGATTTGTTTTAGCAATTAAAATTAACATGTATGCCAAAAGACTCATCATAATGTATGTCAAGCCTCAAATGATAATCATATATTATAACTTATAATATGAGTATATGACACTATAGAAAGGCATTTGAAAGGTAAAAACCTGAATGATAAGCATATTATAAGATGGTTAGATATTTCGTATTCATTATAACTGAAATTTTTCCTTTCATCTTTCATTCTTCTTTCCGTTGTTCCATTATAACATAACAAGTATTCAACATTTCCATTTTGAACTGTATATCTTGTAGCGGATGTCCCGAGAGGAAGCCGTTACTCATACAAGCACTTGGTCGAAAAGATGGTTTAGTAAGGGGAAGGTTACACTTCAGTAATGAAATTTTGATAGCAAGTTGATCATGTGTACTGCTTGATATTCCTAGAAAATCAACTAATCATATTTAGCTTGATCCATTTCTATGGAAATTGTTCTATAATTATCTTCCATTATAATCTACATAAGCTGTTCAGTTGAGTAATATATAATGTTTTTATTATATTGAAAAACGTACTAACAAATTTTATTTATCCGCCTACTAAAAAAAATAAAACGTGTAAAATATTTGAGGGATTTTTTTTTAGAACATTTCTTATGATAAAATAAATGTATTAAACTAAGAGAATCGGGTAATAAAAATAAATAAATATATAATGACAAAAATAAAGTTATAGTTTTGAAAAAAATAAAAACAATATCCGTTTACTATATTATGTACATTATTATGTATTTGAATAACTGTCAATCTGCCGTGGTAAAGATGGTATTATATCATAACTCATTTTTTATACGACTAAGACTTAACAGACAAACGCTATTTGTTTATTTTTACTACAATAAAACTATATAATTCGCTATAATAACCAAAACCTAGAAAATTTACAGCGGCCTATATGGAGTGTGAATATTTTTCGGACTGCTGTATCTGTCTCGTGAAATATCCTAAACGCTTTTATTTTGTTTCATTTATTCCTTTATACAGCCTTATGGTTATGAAACTATCTTCAACATGCTTTCGATTGAACTCCAACAATGCGTGCAGTAATCGGTTATAGTACAATAAATATGAAGTCATGCATTACATACATCCACATGTTATGTATTTTTAAAGCTTAAGGCGTACTATCGGCAATCTATTTGACATCGGTTTTATTGATACTTAAGACGACGTCATTTAGAACTAATTGAAAATGTTCAAGATAATTTTTTGTTTATAAGGGCCTTTACTATTTATAAATAAAAACTCGTATTCGTATTATTTGGTTGGAAATATTTTGTGTTAAATTCATCACTTATTATTTTTTTTACATTTTATTATTCTGTTTAAAACTTTATTTTATCTACAGTTTTTAACAAAGAAAAATAAATCAACACCGTCATTTACAAATTTACAAATTAATTACGGATTGTGTATGGTTGTAAACAAATACAATACAGTGATATTACTAACATAATTACTTATTAGTCAACCCTAGCAATTGAACGGTTGTTCTAGTGCATTTAAAATAAGTTACTGCGACTTTTTCAATGTGAATATACTGAATAGTACAAGGGTTATGGGAAGCGAAGACCCAAAAGTTCATTGTGGTGGTCTGCAAATTGACTCAGAATGAAAAGGGGCAGAAAGATTGAGAGCGGAGAAAGAGAGTCGAGCCGGCATTTGTAATATATTTTATATATATATATATATCGTTGTTGTCGTGCCGTAGGGGGACATCTGGCAATAATGGTTAAAGTTCCGTCCTGACGGTAACATTTAACGGAAATTGTAGGAACATACAGCTTTCTGTGGACATCTTTCATCGTTATTAATGGTGTTATGACCATCGTTTCTCGTTATTATAGAATACAATGTTTCATAGTTGAGTCAAATATCTCTAAAACGACATTGTGATGGTTTCGTTAATAACCAATGTTTCAATTTATTAACACAAGTAACACCATAGAAAATACTCAAATAAGTTATACACATTATTAAAGTAGAGTGCTACGAGTTATTTTAGTAATGATATCAAACTTTTTTTATGAACGAAAATACTATCTAAATTTAACCTACATTATTTCTCATTTAATCAAAATTAACATACTGCAGTATGATTTAATTAAATATAAATTTTACATAACAACACATTTCCCCTCAAATTAGTATATTTAAAAAGAAAATTACTATTAATTTATTGGCTTCCTTAATTTATTTTATTTCAGTGCTCGTTTTGCATGTTTAATGTAATATGAGTTATGGTGCTCTCCAAAATAATTTATAAAATGTTTTATAACACAAATTGATACAATGAAATTTCTCAACCTATAAATATTTAAATTTTATTGATTAAAGTTTAACAACATAAATAGTCAACAAGTTTATATAACTTCACTTTTTCTGTTAATAAATTAAAACATAATTAAACTTTTTGACCATCAAGTCTCTAAGTAAATCTTTAATTATGTTTTATCTCTTTTAGAGAAAAAAACTTTATTACTTAAGAAGACAACGATAAATTAATACATCACCATGATTCTAATTTTTATTAGTCACGTAAATATTTTATTAACTAAAAGTTTAGAAGGATGTCTTAAGTAAGTTTTAAAAAAAAATAATGATAATAACAGTTATTATAAGTTTATAGTTAGCTATAAGTTATTATTTTCAATTTCAACATACCTACAATTATTGGCCTGGAAAGTTTTTGAATCATATTATAATTTCACGTGACCCAATATCCACTTAAATAGTCGATTTCGGTTCCAATTAAAATTAGTATATATTTAGCTAGTAATAAATACAAAATAGTATATCTTTCTCAAAGAATTTTTATTTGTTGAAACATATCTACGTATTCAGTGATTAATTATCATATATAATATATGAAGTATATATTATCATCACGTATTTCATATTACAAAAATAAATCTTATTATAATATATTATGTTATGTTACGTATAAATCAAAAAGTATGCAAAGAATTCAAAAGTAAGAAAACAGGTCAATTGTTACAAGTTCTGAGAATAGTAATTTTCTTACTTATTGAACCTCTATATGTTTCGTATACAGAAGTATCCCACTAGATTTTGGCATCTCTAATCACTTTTTATCCACCAAATATTTTACGTTAATATTTTTTGGACTACGTTAAAAGTTTTTTTTTATTATTCGTCTAAAATAAGACGAATTTCAAAAATTTTAAATAGTCATTTTATACATAACATTTTGATGAATCAATAACAAGTTCTACAGGTACTTATGTATGTGCACTAGGCCTGTGCAATAACTATTCTATGTATTAGCATTTTTTTTTATTCAATCAAAACTAATGTTAAAAAAAATAAAAGGAATTCCATTTGAAAAACGATAGTTTAAAGCTAAAAGGAGATAATGAAATTTAATGTTTACTATAGAGTATTATTATTGAATTAATAGTAAAATAAAAAGATTGTATCATAATATAATTTTTTAAGTGTAATAATAATTATATTGTTGTGAGAAAAATTTTTCTATTTTTAAAATTAAATTTTTATTGGATATTTAAATTTTTTTTTTTTACTTACATGTTCTAGCAAAAGTTTAATTTTAGACTATTTTTGTCTTCTATCAATTTCCTGCAACTTTATTTTTTTAAGAACTTATATAAAACTTTTTATCGCATTGATTTATTCTATTTATGACACTTCATTGGACTTAAATATTCTTGATTACTTAAAATTTATGTTTTTCATTAACTCGATAATTTAAATTGTACCTTTATTATAATTAACTTATTAAAATTGAGTAAATGGAATTATTTTTAAGATTCTACTATTATTTTGAAATTATTACTGAAATTTATAATTATTATTTTTCTTTATATCTCTATAAAAACAACATTGATCTTTAAAAAATTGTTTATAAATTTAACTGTCAACAGGTTGCATGGATACACATAGATCGTCAAATGATATTAACTATTCATCGCCATGTCATTGCACGGATTCCAAGGTTCGGAATAACACACGACAGCCAAAAAACTTGGTTGCTACACGTAAAAGGAGCTCAACCAGAAGATAGAGGCTATTATATGTGCCAAGTCAACACAAATCCAATGATAAGTCAAGTTGGATACTTACAAGTAGTTGGTAAGTTTATTTACAATACCGAGAAATACCTTTAAGTAATTCATTATGCTTTGTTTTTTTACATACGATCACTAGAAATTTTAGACATTTGCTTTTATCTTTTACTCTAATTAATAAACAATTAAAATTTTACAATTTTAAAGGACTTTAGTAGGGCTGATGGGTAATAGTTCCTTTAAAATATCTTTTAAATAAATAATAAAGATGTGAATTAATAAGAAAAATTAACTTATTTTAGCTTCGATGCGAAGCTGAGAAGGTATTGGTTTTACTATGATGTGTTTTTTTTTTTTTTTTTTTTTTTTTTT